CGAAAAAAGGACCAGTCAGAAATGAAGGACATACTAACTGAAATGAAGAATAATTTATAGGGAATCAACAGTAGGATAGAGGAGTCCAAGAATCAAATTTGGAATAAGAGAAAGCAAAAAACACCCAATCAGAAGAGCAAGAAGAAAAAGAATCCAAAAATAAGAGAGCCTCAGGACAACTTCAAGTTCACCAACATTTGCATCATGGGAGTGCTAGAAAGAGACGAGATGGAGCAAGAAATTGAAAACCAATTTGAAGAAAAAATGACAGAAAGCTTCCCCTTTCTTGTTAAAGAAATAGACTTACAAGTCCAGGAAGTGCAGATGAAACCAAAGAGGCCCACACCAAGACACATCATAATTAAAATGCCAAAACTTAAAGACAAAGAACTTCAAAAGCAGTATAAGAAAAGCAGTTAGTTACCTACAAATGAACACCCATATGACTGTCAGTTGATTTCCCAACAGAAACTTTGCAGGTCAGAGGAGTGAAGTTCATCAGCACCAAACCAATGTTACAAGAAATGTTAAAGGGTCTTATTTAAGAAGAAGAGGAAGAAGAAAAAGAGGCAGAGAGATTAAAAATATGAACAATAAAATGGCAATACATATCAACAATTGAATATAAAAATTTAAATAAATGAACAAGAAATCTAATGAAAATAAATAAAATGATTAATAAAATAGAACTAGAGGCATGGCAACAGGGAACACTGATGAATCTTAGAGGGAAGGGGGGAGGGAGAGAAGAAAAAGATCAACCAAAGAACTTATACACATAATCCATGGACACAGACAATAGGGTGGTGATGGCCTGGGGTGGGGTGGGATTCAGGTGATGGGGGGGAGTGGACAAGGGGGGACATCTATAATACTCTCAACAATAAAGACATAGAAATAAATAACTTTGTAATTTCTAGTCTTTTTCTGTGGATCTTGGAACAATTTAAATAGTGTGGAAACTTTCTATTCTTCATGGAAATAAGTAATAAAGTCCAGAGAGATAACTTTAAAAATAAAGTTGGTTATGAGTATTAAATAGGAAACAAATTAAATGTTTACATATGCATTTAAATACTGAGATAATCAAAACTAAACATAAATCATGTAAAATATGGTTCCATATTTGCAAACACACCTGTATACTTATCTATCTTTATATATTTACAGAGAAAATTTTGGAATGACATTGACTATTAGAAATGCTTAGTTTTCCAAGTTTATGTGTTTAGTGAATCATTAATTTTAAATTAAAATTTTAATGTTAAAAAAAAGAAAAAGACCATTTATATGAAATGTCCAAAATAGGCAAATCCACAGAAACAGAAAGTAGATTAGTGGTTACCAGAGGCTGGGGTAGGGCAAAATGGGGAGTGACTGCTAATGGGTAGAGTTTCTGGGGTAATGAAAATGTTCTGGAACTGTTAGGGGCAGTTTCACAATCTTGTGTACTATATACTAAAACCACTGAACTGTAAACTTTATAATGGTGAATTTATATGAATTAAATTTCAATTTTTTAAATGCTAAATAACATTGATTTGCAAATTGGTCATTTAAAACCCAAGATTCCAAACCTAGCTGGTTGCTCAGTGAATAGAGCATTAGCCTGAGGACTGAAGGGTCCCACATTCCATTCCAGTCAAGGGCACAAGCCTGGGTTGCAAGCTCGATCCCCAGTACGGGAAGTGCAGGAGGCAGTCGATCAATGATTCTCATTTTTGAAGTTTCTACCTCTTTCTCTCCCTTCCTCTCTGAAATCAGTAAGAATATATATATTTTTAAAAACACCCCAGTTTACTTTTCTTTTTGCATTTGTTTGAATTACTGAAGATATACTGCTAAATCACTGAAATAAAAGGCAAAGTAAAAAATACATCTCTAGCAACACTGAGCCAGAGTCTCCGGTTCATGTTATCTGCACTTTGATTCCTATCCTGGCTGGTGCTTGGATTACATGCTAAAAGGCTCCCCCTTCCAATTCTTAATTGAAGAAATAGTGATTAAATTTCTCAAGTTGACTCACAGAAGTTATTTAAGTCGTATCTCCTCCTCCACTTGCAAAGTACACTCTGGTTAAAAGCACCAACCTTTTCTCTCCCCATTTTCTGATCTTTCCACACAAAAGATCTGAGCTAGAGAAAGGGGAAAGCAATTTATTTAGCTAAATCATAAAATATCTTAATGATTGACAGCTGTAAGCAGGATTCCCTCTTCTCAACTCATCCAAATCTTTAGGCCCCAATAAATTTTGGGCAATTTAATAAATCAAAGGGTTAGGTGTCAGCAAGGGCTGCCTGGGCCTCCAAAAGCAACATGCTACTGGATGGTAGGTATGCCCTGAGACTCAGCTTCCCTTCCCTGACGTGTTTTTTTTCCAGTTTTACTCATTTTAAAATCAAGATTCACTAATATACTTCAAATCAGAATCTATGAACTATCTATATCAGAATCACCTGTGGTGCCTAGCCCACCCCAGACTTAGTAAATCAAAATCTCTGGGGATGGAGTCCAAGAACCTTATTTTCAAAATGATTCTAACATATATTAACTTTGAGAAACATTGTTCTAAAAAGTTCAATAAAATAGGACCTGCAGCCATTAAGGTATAGATAATACGTAAGAGACTATCTGTTTGATGAAGACATGATCACTGCCACTGAGTTTACCAGTCAGAACTAAACACTTTTATGTCTGGAACTCACTCACTGTATGGTACTCCATTAAATATAAATGTGAGGTGTGTGCTGTATGCACACACATATACGTATACGTGTATATATATAAATAACACATTAAAGGCATAGATGACAAAATAGTAGTGATGTATTTATATTCAAATCAAGTAGAAGAGGTTTTCCAACATAGTGAGGAAAATATGGAACAAAGACATTTTACTGTTCATATTTTTTCTGTACCTGAATAAAGGATTGAATTTCAGCTACTAATAAAGACCTACATGGAAACAGCCCTGATTAGATCAAGTAATTTTCCTTCTGAGTAATTTCAATCATCAACATGCAAGTGTAGCATGTTAACTGTCACTACCTGGTTTTTGCTAACACATGTTAATTGTTTTCATAATGTAGAGACCTTTACTTTTCTAACCTGCCTCTCCACTGACTGATTTTTGGAGAGAGGGAGAAACATCTATGTGAGTGTGAAACATTGATCAGCTGCCTCCTGCAGGCCCCTACAGGGCATCAAAGCCCCCAACCCAGGCATGTGCCCTGGCCAGGAATCCAACCAGCAACCAACTGAGCCTAAGGGCCAGGGCAAAAAAATTCTTCTTGACTTTAAACTTCTCATGCTGTCACACTATGGTACACACAATATAGATTCTTTTTCTGCTTCAAGCTTAAAAAGCCTTGAGAATCTCTTAAAAGTATATAGAAAACTTCCGGTCTACCACTAGGAAGCACTTCCAAATTACTAGCAAAGAATATTTTCTACTTAAAGTGAACAATATTCATTCAAAATATTTATGGAACACATACGTACGCCAGAATGTTATAGGGGCTAAGAATAAGAACACAGTAGTAAGAAAATATGCTTAATAAAAATACTGGTTATCATTTGCTATATATTGATGATTCATAGTCATCAATCATTACAAATACTAAGAGTTACAAATACTACTACAGGGTGTCCCAGAGAAATGTATACATACTTTAACAGCTGATAGCTCAATTTTGAAAATGAAATGTATTTTAACAAACACTGCCTTTATAATTATTTAAAAATGTGTATGCATTCAAAGTGTGTGTGCATTTGTGTATACATATTTGGACGCCATATATGTGTAGGCAGGACTGAGCAGAATCTAGAATCTATACAGATCTTATAGCAGACTAAGGACATTTGTTTTTGAAATAATTTCTATTGCTTGAACTAATTAAAAGCACACACACACAGTATAGGATGTCTAAGGTTTCCAAGGTTACCAGTGTTTGAATACACTCCATACATAAGAGTACTCTGAACAACAAGATCCCTGTCATGATACTTATACTCTACACTTCAATTTTGTAGCAAGATGTAGCGATTCATGTAACCGGGAAACCGTCCCTTTTCTCTATAGAAAAGATCACTAAGAAATGAAAGCACTTAAAATCAATATACTGTATAATCTCTTAAATGCGCTTCTCTGGACTCTAAATGTCCTATGGTTCCTCTGCAACCAAGAAAAGCAGCAGGCGGAGAAAATGAAACTTACACTTCTCTGTCACTCTAGAAATACTATTATTTCTTCATACTGCATCTAAAAAATTGTTACCCGTAAGAGACCAGAGAACCTTGATACCCAATTCAGATGCAAGACAAAAACCATAGCCCATGCAGAAAAAATGGGACATTCCTTCCTAACATTCAGATTTGGGTTTGTCTGTCTGTCTGTCTGTCTGTCTCTGGCTTTTGTGTTTCATTGCTTTCGGCGTCCTCGAAACCCTGCAGGGATAGATTACACTGCAAAAAAACACTCGGGTGCTGCACAGTAGCGGCCTTGTGAGCCCCGCCCGCACGCGGATGCAGAACGGATCCCGCAGCCCCCCGGCAAAGCCAGGAGGGGAAGAAAACACGCCACGGCCGCGAAACCAGCCGCGGAGGGGCTGGCCGGCCCTCCGTGCGCCAGGGTGCCCCGCGCGCCCCGCGCGTCCCCCAAGTGCCCTTGGAAGCGGCGGCCCGCGGGGAGAGCCGCGCCCGCTCCCCGAGGACTGCGGTTCCGCCCGCCGGCCCTTCCCTCCCGCACCCCGCCCCTGGGACCCGCCGAGCCGCCGCGCCGGCTCCGCCCCTCGCCGCCCGGCCAGGCCCCGAGTCCCGCCGCGGGGCGAGGCGGCCCGGCCGGCGGGCGCGGCCGGAGCCCAGGCAGTCCCGGCCCCAAGCAGCGCCCTCGCCCCACAGGCCGCCCAGGCCGCCCGCCCGGGAGCGTGCGCGCCGCGGCCCCGGCCGGGCCTGCGCCCCGGGCTTCGGCCTGGGCGGACGGCGCCCTCGCCTCCTCTCACCTGCGTCCCCACCACGACTATCTGAGGCAACTGGATGATGTCGGCGCCCACAGTGTTGAAGACATCCTGGAGCTTGTTGATCACAGGAATTAGTGCCTCCATGACTCCGAGAACACGGGACCCCCGCCAGGCGGGCCGCGGCAATGAATGGGGCCGGGGCCGGCCCAGATTCCGCCTCCTCCCTCCTCTCCTCCGCCCTGTCCTCGGGAGCCGGCACCCATTGGTGCCCGCCCGGCTGCTACCTGCCCCCTCCCGGCAGGCCGTGCGCTAAGAGGGAGGTAGCGGGGAGCAAAGCCTGTCGGGAGTTGTAGTTCTGCAGCGGAGGACCGCCAGGGCCTACAGCTTCCAGAAGGCTGTGCGGCGTGGGCAGACCCGGAGCTGGAGAGGGCGGGCTGCTTGTTTGTTATGACAAGGACCTTACCAGGTTCTTGTCAAAAGACTAAGGGAGGGAAGCCTGGAGAGTTGGAGGGAAGAAATGCATTTATGCCGTGCTTGAGGCGTATTGGGTGGGAAAATGCCGAATATGTGTCAAGTACAGCTGAATCTCTTGATTATCCAAGATGTCCATAAGGACGGGTTGGAAAGGCTTAAATAGCTCCTAGCCTCAGGCACCCCAACCAGGTGCAGAAGGTCTGCAGGCTAATATACGGCATGGGGTGCTATTTTGCAAAAATAACAAAACCACCGGTTTTGCTCGGCGGAGAGAGCATCCGCCTGCAGACTGAAAGGTCCCAGGTTCAATTCTGGTCAAGGGCATGTACCTCGGTTGCGGGCACATCTCCAGGAGGGGGTGTGCAGGAGGCAGCTGATAATGTTTCTCTCTCATGGATGTTTCTAACTCTCTCCCTTCCTCTCTGTAAAAAAATCAATAAAAAATTTTTTTAAATAAATAACAAAACCAGCCCGGATTGAACGGTTCTCCAGGATTTTTGTAAAAACGTGTTCAGAAAGAAAGAGTGTCAGAGTTTTAGAGGGAAAAGGCTGTGTCCTTGTTCTCTATATTCGGTATACAACGTTATTTGCTGTGTGGCCTGATTTCCTACAAAGTGGAGATCTGATAACTGCCTTATTAGCTTTTTGCTAAGTGTGCCTACTGTTCTATTCCTAAATGTTGTTCTTCTTTTTAGACAGATAGTATCTCTCTTCTCCAAGCCTCCAAGGTTTCCTATCTCAAAGTAAAAACTGGTGACATTTGAGCCAAGACCAAAGTAGGTGAGGAGAAAGCCCCCTTCCTCCTTTATTTTCCTCCATAGCATTTATCTCCATCTAGCACCCTACACATTGAACTTGTTTACACTCTCTCACTTTTACAATATTATCAGCAACTAGCAGCCAGAGATTTTTTATTATTTAACTAACTGATGTATCCCTGGCCCCTAGAAAGTGACAAGGGAATCGAAATCTCAACCCCTTTGAGTTTACAATCTAACGGAGGACCATTATAAATCAATGGGTAGTCCTATAATTGGGTGTATTATGGAGCATAGTCTCAGAGGGAGGAAAGTGCAAGCAAGACTTCCTAGAAGTCACTAGATTTCATCCCCAGGAGGGCAAGGACCACCAGCAGTGTAGAAGTTGTGCTCTACACAACTTCAGTAGATATCATTCACCAGCACAGCCATCCACAGTCACCCTGGGGAACATGCTTGATGGTGGGTACTCAATACATATTTTTGAACAAATGAATGAAACTAAGACCTGAAGGTCCACTTGTGGTGATTTGGTATCTTATCACGTTTCATGAACAATTCCTTTGATTCTTCTTAAAAACAAAACTTTCAGAGACAAAATGAGGACACATTTTCAAAACTAAAACACACACACACACACACACACACACACACACAAAAAAAAAAAAAAAAAAACAGAACAGACCAAAGAGCAGGTATGCTCATGGTGAGACTCCATGACCATAACCAGGAACTGTTTCATAGGGGCAAGCTGCCCTGGGGCAAAAATGATGCACTACAACCTTTTCGCTTATTAGTGGCACCAATAGACTTAGTCTTTTCCTAACTGCTAATGGCAAAATTAAAAGAGCAAGCGTAAGGTATATTCCAGGAAAGACATGTCATGAATTTTACAAGACATTACATATTTCAATTTAAATGATAAAATGTCTATTGTGATAGAATATCCAGAGCCTTCTATTAACATGCTTCAGGAACAATGGTAACTGCTTTTATTTATTTTTTATTTTATTTTATTTTATTTCATTTTATTTTAGGAAAAAGAAAGAAGGATCACATAGCTAGTGCTCAAAAGTTCTATCTGTACCACCACATGATGTTTAAGCAGGTTTGTCTAGTACTTGTTTAGACACTAGAGCATTGAGTTTATGGGGCACATTAAACAGGAAGTGGTGAGGCCTTGAAAAAGAGTGGCTCTAATTTGAGAACATTAAAAAGAAAAAAAAAACATAAGGCAGGATACTCTATGTGCAATGTGTTTCCCTGGAGACAAAGCAAACCGATTTGGTTTTTCCCATTTTAAGTTCAGAACTTGCTTGTGGGAAAGCCACTTAGCCAGTAAGTATGACTTTTCTCATCTAAAGGCGGATAATGTGTTTCTCAGTGGTTTGCTATGAAATCAAATTAAGCCATTATCAGGTACTGTCTCCAAAGGCTCTAAAAAAACAAACTCCTCCCTCAGCCAATCCTCTCTCACTATAGGTTTATGATTTAGGCAGAACTGTTTGGTTGCAGATCACAGAAATTTAACTCAAACTAATGGACTAAAAAAGAGGAGCTACTTAACTAGTACAACCATGCGGCTAGCATGAACTTGGCCTAAAAAATAATTGGAAATGTAGGCTCAAGCAGCATCAGAATTACTTCTTTTCTCTCTCTCTCTCTCTCTTCCCCTCATCCTTCCCCCATCATCATCTACTTCATTCTCTCAAATCAATTCATTCCTGTGAATGAGATGACCAGGCAGGGTGAGGCTGCTGGGATCTCACTGAGCAAGCTGCCTCTGGGCGGATGAGGTTGAGTGAATCTGGGGAGGAACCGAAACTAGGTTTCCACCTTTTCCCTGGTGTGTGAGATTCCTACTGTTGCATTAACAAATTACCACAAACTTAGTGGCCGAAAACAACAAAAATGTATTACTTATGGCCTGGTAGGTCTGAAGTCCAACTCTGCTCTTCCTGAACTAAGGTCAAGGTATCTCAGAGCTGCATTCCTTTCTGGAGTGTCCACGAAAGAGTCTCCTTGCCTTTTCCAGATTTGAGACTGCTCACATTCCTAGCTCTTGACCCTCTTCCCACATCCTCAAAGCTAGCAGTGTCACATCTCCTTGACCCTTCATTGTCATTACTTCTCTCTGATCAGAGCCAGGAAAGGTTTTCTGCTTTTAAGAACCCATGATTAGATTGGCCCACCTGGAGAACATAGGACAACCTCCCCACTGAAAAGTGTGAACCTTTCATTATATCTGCAGAGTCCCTTTGCCATGTAAAGTTCACAGGTTCCAAGAATTAGGGCATGGACATGTTACAGGGACATGTTAACCTGCCTACCATACCAGGTTAAGGCAATCAGTCAGGGGATGAATCACCCAAGCAAGGCCAGTTAGAAGTCTTCCCTGACATTTTTTTAATTTGAGTAAACCAGATAATTTTCTCTCCCATTATGGAGCTATAATGATGTGAGTCACTGTCTTCAAGGATCATATTTCCTATCAATTGGAATAAACTGTTTTGTGACATAGACTCCTTATTCATCATAAAATTTTTTTTCTGAATCCAGAAATTGTGTGTGTGTGTGTATATATATATATATATATATATAGAATCTAGGAATTCTAATTCCCAGAGTTAATCACTCCCTTTTTTGCTTGTTGCTTCTTTCACACAATGTTATGAAACCATTCTTTATTGAGTGCTTACTGTATGTGAGGCACTGCACTAAGTATGTTACAATTGCCTTGTGGGATAGGTTTATAGATGTGGAAACGGATGCTTCAGGATTTTCAGTGAAGTGATACATTTACATAGCTAGTATGTGGCAGAGCTGGGATCAAAAGGGGCTATCTGTCCAACTTTTTTTTTAAAAATCAATATATTTTATTGATTTTTTTATAGAGAGGAAGAGAGAGGGATAGAGAGTTAGAAACATTGATGAGAAGAACATCAACCAGCTGTACACCTCCTACTCCTGCATATCTCCTACTAGGGATGTACCTGCAACCAAGATACACGCCCTTTACTGGAATCAAATCTGGGACCTTTTAGTCCACAAGCCAATGTTCTATCCATTGAGCCAAACTGGTTAGGGCTATGTGTCCAACTTTTAACCTCCATACACACTGCCTCATTTCTTCATTCATTCCTTCATTTATTCAACACATATTTATCAATCTCCTATTAGGCATATGGGTCTCACCAGGAAGAGTATTTGCAACAGGGCGGGGGGGGGGGGGGACTGTGCACATGACAGTAATATGTCCTTCCTTCTTAGCCAACAGTGACCTCGCTGAGAGAAGTGTCCTATTGAGCTAGTTATCTCCACTATTTTGTATGATGCTTGTTACCTAATACCACTCTAATAAACATGGGGTTGGGGCTCCTTTTATTTACTTAGAAAAATCTGGAATAGCAAAGATTTAAGCAATGGGTACAACTGCAACTAAGATTTTCAATCAAACCAGCCAAAATATATTAGACTGGCCTGGCTTAGGGCTCCTCACCAGAAGAGCTGCCATTGCCATGTTACTTTGCCTGGCCTAGGGTGGCTTTGTTCTAACTTAAAATTCCCAATAAGAGAAAGTTCATTTTTAATTAAAAGCTGAGAAAATTTTAATAGTTCTTGCAAAAGACCATTCAGATTATTTTTATTTATTTATTTATTTATTTTTTAATTTTTATTGTTCAGAATATTACAAATGTTCCTTCTCCCCACCCCCACCCCCACCATTGCTCTCCTCCATCAGGTTCCCACTCCACCCTCTTTCCTTTCCCACTCCCCATTGTCATCATCCATAGGTGCACAGTTTATGTTCAGTCTCTTCCCACGTCCCCCTCTTCCTTTTTCCCCCAAGAATCATCAGTTCACTCCCCTTCCATACCTCTGATTCTATTATATTCAACAGTTAATATTGTT